GCGAGAATGTCCAGCATGAGGCCAGGATTCCCAAAATATTCTGAGGTATCAAGACGCAGATATGTCAAATATACTTGTGACTTGCACTCCCAAGCGACGCCAAACCCGCTTGCTTTTTTGTCAAATGCATAAACCGAGAAGCCATACGAAACGAAGCCCCTCCTCCCGCGAATCCGACGATCATGTGAAACTGTATGGGGGTCTTGATGGCGATTCGATAGCGATTCGTCTAAAGACCTGAGTCATGCGCGTTCTAATCGGGTTTAAAAACGTCCTTGAAAATGGCTAGAGCTCGCTACCTCGTTTTTTTCCTCTTTCTTGTCATCAGGATGGAAGAACATTTCACCCACGATAATATCGACGATGTCCTTGTTCACAAGATAATGCACATGTGCTTGGGCTTGGCCTTAATGGGGCCGTATGGTGTTTCGATGCACCAGAGGAGCGTTCTCGTCTAATAATGTCTCCTTCTGCGCATTCGTTAGGTTACAATACCTCTCCCAGTAGTTACCATGCTGTCCCTTTATGTGCCTGTCGTAGACATCAGTGCGAAAAGATTGTTTGAAGTATTGATTTGTGGTGGAGTGGATTCTCAAACAGCGTAGGAGATCCACAAACACACACAGCACCGGACTGACGACTTGCGGAGGGGGTACCCTGATACCGTGTCGTGTTAACCTTGGGTCTCACCTTGTGTACCCGTCGTCTTGGCTGGTCTTGCTCCTCGGTTGACGCAGAAGACTTAAGACTTGGTCTTGTATAGAGGGACTTGGTGGTCCCCGAGTGGATATGCTTCACTTGGGACCGGGTTTCTTGGGCTCAATCGACTATGTCGAGAGAGATGCACCTGGTACTATGTACCCCTTTGGTGGCTGACTGTTCTTGGTCCTTGGACCCCTTTGTGTTCTTCCCCGTAGGAAAACCGCTTCCTGTAGCGGGTCGTAGAGTCTTGACACATCAGGCCAACTATCCCGAGGTTCAACTTGCGTAGCTTGGGCCTTCTAACACCTGCTGGACGTCGGGGGGCCAAAGGGTATCCCGCCCGGAAGAGGTGAGGCGACGAAGAAGCTTAGGAGGGGCGCTTAAAGCTGCCACGTGTAATGCAAATTCGAGTGTGTTTATTTATCTTATTCTCTGTATGCTTTTCTTGCCTAACCCTAACCCTTCGCTCTAGATAACACCACGTGTCAACTTGTGGACGAACAACTTTCTCTTTTAGGACATGGGACTTGTACCGGCTCTGCACTTTAAGGAAGCCTTGTACCTTCTATAACCTGGGTCCACCTGTCGCCTGGAGTCCACCTGTCGCCTGGTCACCTGGTTCACTCGTTCACCTGGTTCACCTGGTCCACATGGTCACTTGGGTCCACTTGGTTGCCTGGTTTACTTGGGGTCAACCGGTCCACTTGGGGTCAACCTGTCTCTTGGGGTTCACTGGTCACCTAGGTCCACCGGTCACCTGGATCAACATGTCACCTGGGGTCCACCGGTCACGTCCACCTGTAACATGGGTTCCACCTGTCGCCTGGGGTCCACCTGTCACATGGGGTCCACCGGCCACCTGGGTCCACCGGTCACCTGGGTCCACCGGTCACCTGGGTCCACCGGTCACCTGGGTCCATCGGTCACTTGGGTCCACCGGTCACCTGGGTCCACCAGTCACCTGGGTCCACCGGTCACCTGGGTCCATCGGTCACTTGGGTCCACCGGTCACCTGGGTCCACCAGTCACCTGGGTCCACCAGTCACCTGGGTCCACCGGTCACTTGGTCCACCGGTCACTTGGGTCCACCGGTCACCTGGGTCCACCAGTCACCTGGGTCCACCAGTCACCTGGGTTCACCATCACCTGGGCCCTCCGGTCACCTGGGTCCACCGGCCACCTGGGTCCACCGGTCACCTGGGTCCACCGGTCACCTGGGTCCACCGGTCACCTGGGTCCATCGGTCACTTGGGTCCACCGGTCACCTGGGTCCACCAGTCACCTGGGTCCACCAGTCACCTGGGTCCACCGGTCACTTGGGTCCACCGGTCACTTGGGTCCACCGGTCACCTGGGTCCACCAGTCACCTGGGTCCACCAGTCACCTGGGTTCACCGGTCACCTGGGCCCTCCGGTCACCTGGGTCCACCGGTCACCTGGGGTCAACCGGTCACCTTGGGTCCACCTGTCACCTGGAGTCAACCTAAGCTGCCCTAGCAGCACTGGTCCTTTAATCTGTAGTGTAGGACATCCTAGTACCTTCTCCGAACTCGGGACCTTGGACCAGTTCGGGGCCTGGTCACCTCCCTGTCACTCATTCAAGAGAGTGACCGAGGTCTTTCACGCCAGTTATTATAATAACTACGAAGGGCACCCTATTTCTCTGGCACTTCTCCACAGGATGTTGTTCGTAGGTTTGCGTTTGGCGTCAACCTTCTCTTCTCGACCGAAGTGTACACAGAAGCGGCATGATACCGACACGACTTCCATCGTCGATGGATTGCGCTTGCAGACCTTCCAACCATATGCGAGTATATGCGCCTCGATAACAATGTTTTACGCGCCGGAGGCATAGTTTGGGCGAATGATGCTCTCAACGAGTCCGAAACGCAGTTTTCTACGCAATCTGAATAGTGGCGCCTGGCAAAACTTCATAGTGGCCAAAAGTGGCGTTCGGGATTCAAACTATTCTATCAAAGTGGCCTGATGATGATACGTGGAGATAAAACCGGGAAGAAGAGCACTCCTATTCGAGCTGATAGACTCAAGCTCTTCCCTTCCATAGCGACGCGTCTGGCGTTACGCGCAGGACTCTTGGCGTATGGCGAGAAGGACGCACCGACAGATGAAGATGCTGGAGATGAAGACAAAGCAGTCAATGTAGATCCACCATGAGCTCCAATAGTGGCTGGAGGTCGTGATAATGCTGTAATAATCTTAGGCGGATGCAACGAGCCATTGCTGCTCATTGGAATGTTGATTTATTGGACTGTTGACGTCAGATGAGCCTGGCACAAGTGTCAAAATGATGACAATTAATTTCCAAATGAACAAGAGATTATAATAGTGACGTAGTACACGTCGTAGACAGAGAGAGATGGAGCTAGACGACGTAGACACTGAAGAGGAAGATGGAGTAACGCCACCGTAATCGAGTGATTCTTATGAGCGATTCTGATTGGGTAAAATCAATTGATTATAGTATTGGACACTGGTGTGGACAACTTAATTTGTCCACCATCTGATTGAAGTACAAGACAAAATTACATTACAGCGCATGAGTTACCGACTTGTCCTTTCTCTTGCATTGCCAGTCCTCTTGTCCTCTTCAACAAGTAATGGTACTATAGCTTTCTGCAGCTTGTTCACGTGCCACCAATGTGGTGCACTACTCAAATTCCAACATAGTCCAGTGTCCATTGAGGAGAAGATCATGAAGCTTCGACCGGTAGCCTACGAGCACCCGTCGGAGGTGTCCGAGCAACGAGACAGCAAGGGAGAAAACGAGGAAGACCAGATGCCAAGACTTACAGAAAAACAGACGCTGGAGAGACCGCAGATGCAGATGAAGAGGAAGAAGCAGCACATATGGCAGCTAGGTCCTCACTAAGTCAACAGCAACAGCAGCAAAAGACGCCGGCTATTGTCCCCGAGATTGTGTGGGAACGACAACGTCTGGACTACAGCAGTGATGTTGGTGTTTGGGTGCCTGCTGAATTCGACCTCGTAAATAGGATTGCAGCTTACACGAGCTGCAATTGTGGAGATATTGGACAAAATATTGCCGATGTGGTGCCGGCGCGACTACTGAACAAGCCGCACTTGTGGATATCGGACTGGGAGGTGGATTACTCCCTCCCGCACTGCGATGAAGAAAGGTGGGTATATGCATCCTCGCACGTAGATTTTGGCAAGCTGGAGGAGCCTCATGTGCATCGAGAGGAGGCAGTGAAAGGTGGTGAGCTCAGTAGAACTGCCAAAAAGACTGAAAGGTCTGATGCAATGTCGCAAGAGCGTGTTGTTCGTCGAAGATGTCTGATACGAAAGCGCCGCATTGATGGCAGTGATCTCAGCTGGTTCCTGGAACTACTGGACTGCAGGTACGGCGAATGAAATTATATTTCTCCCTAAGAATACATCATAATGTGGTATAGTTGTTGTCTACAGCACGGTTCTACACAAAAAGAGGTTACCTACTTGTCATGACTGTGAAGGAAGTTGCTGTCCCGATTTACTCAGTAAGTGAGCACCTGCTTTTTTGTGCCACCTTTGAGAAGAGCTTATCATTATGCATTTTTCTGCTGATGACTACTACAGAGTATTGAACGAACTGGAGGAGGATCGAGCTCAATACGAGGATTTTATAGCCCAAATCTGCAGACAAAGGGCGGGCATCAGCACGAACATTGTGCGATGATGGAGATTACGATACCGATGAGTGGCACATTGACCCAGAGCTTTGCGCTTTGGAGGAGGAAGAGCGGCAACTAAAGGCTGAGTTAGAGGCCATCGAGGATGAAATTATACAAGTGACAGCTAAGAGGCGTGAGCTTTGGTAAACTGGATTAGATCTCGAGCGTTTGGTTCATGGCACGTTTGCTGAAGGAGCGTTCTTGCAGCATTTATTGGGTCTGAGTCGCGACGAGCGCCAATTCGTGGGTGTATTTTGCAGTGCATGCATCAGATATGCTGCGCCGTCTCCAGCGCTACAACGTGTGCAACGATGTCTTCCACATCTGGCACGACGGTCTGTTCGGTACCATTAATGGACTGAGACTTGGCAGGTTACCGTCTAAACCGGTGGAGTGGGTCGAGATTAACGCGGCAATGGGCCAGACAGTGTTGTTGCTGGCAACTATCGCTGACCGTGCCGGGTTTGAATTTTCACGTAACCGTCTCGTGTCTCGGGGAGCTTCTCCCGTGTAGTCAATATGTACGGAAAAGAGTACAGTCTGTACAGCGACGGTGGCATGTTCCGCCGTCGAGGCTTCAATCAAGCTATGATTCTATTTCTCGAGTGCGTAGATGACGCAGGTCGTCGTGCCATGAAAGAAGAGCTATTGCTCAAGTTCCCGTACAAGGTGGAGCGCGGCAAAATCGGTGGTCTGCCTATTTCGCTTGGTAACGATGAGCAGTGGACTCGAGCGCTCAAGTACATGCTCACGCATCTTAAATGGCTCTTGGCTTGGATTTCGAAGCGCTATTGAAGGGATGAATAAAGAATGAGCAAGTCGGCAGAATATCTGCCAGGCAACATTTGCTAGCGCCATGACAGCGGACCAGCAAGTATAACGTGTGTATTTTGCGTCTTCTGCTTGGGTTTTTGTAAGTTCTTCACATGTCAGTAACGAAGAGACAACAGCCAAGATGTACTAAACATGGGACGTTATAAGAAGACGTTATAGTTCTGTGCCTGTGGACACCTTGGCTAAGCTACAGCAGTTGCTGGATGGCTTGTGGATTGCGTTAGCAGCGTGTAGTACCTCTTCCTGCGTGGTAGAGCGACCCACAGACAAGCGCAGTGTGCCTTTGGCAAACTCAGGAGCCACGTGCATGGCAGCTAGCACGTGCGAAATGGTAGTAATGTGTTTCCCGTCGCGGTCTAGGTTCTTTTCCTGTTCGGTAGCCCTGTCTTGCTTGTGGCTATGACACGCTGATCCTGCACTTGCATAGACGCCGTCGGCCTCTATCACTGTTCATTACACAGGCAACACCAAGATCAGCATCCTATAACCAACAAAGTCAAGTATACAAAACTTACAGTCGAGGAGACGCGATGCGTTAATGTTTTCAAAGCTGATGCTGAGCGTGTTAGGCAGTGAAAGTTCTGGGTGGCCGTTCACCTGGTAGCTAACATTCGTGAGACTGCAGTGCTTTTGGATCTGCTCGAGGAGGAACGCCCTGCTCTCTTGCATGATGACAGCGTACTCGTGCAAGTTCTTCTCTACAAGCGCACAAGCCTGGCCCAGTGCCGCCACTAGTCCCACATTCTCTGTACCACCACGACGTCCGTTCTCCTGCGACGCTCCGTGAATCATCGTGTCCAAACCATGCTTTTTTTACAGACGTAGAGAGCGCCGACACCCTTTGGCGCATAGAATTTGTGGCCCGCCACTGTCACCAAATCCACGTCAAGCTCACGACATTCACACGCACTTTACCAATCGCTTGACTGGCGTCTGGATGCATAGCCGATTCTCCTCGTCCTCGACGAATCGTCGCACTGCTCGAGAAATTGCTGCAACTGGCTGCAACGATCCAACTTCATTGTTAGCAAGCATAATGGACACCAAACACGTCTGTACGGTAAGCGCATCCAGCACATCTTGTACCTGAACATAGCCAAAGTTATTCACAGGCAAGTAAGCTTGATGTTAAAACTGCTGATTAGTTGTTGATACGACTTTCAACTTCATACAAAACAAGTAAGGAAAGTATATAAACAGTGTAATTGCTTTTTACCAACAGCATAAAGCACCTACCACCACTATCTGTCCCTACGTCATAGTAGAGGTACTAGCAGGACCTCCGATAGTAACTATGGAGTGTAGCATTAATTCTCCACCAGCTCTCCTCCGTCTTACACATATTTACTTGGGATTCTATTCCATCTTTTTTCGAAGTTTCTTCATAAACGAACTAAAATCTTTGTCTCCCTTAATAGGATTCTCCTTCTCCAGCGATTTCAAGAAAAAGCCGTTCCTGTGCACCTGTTTCATCACTTTTAGGGCTGCGCCATGGCCGACCTTATCGGAGAGTTTCTTATAAACTTCACGGCATCTGATGCTGCTCGTTTTGCCCTGTGTTCTCATGTACACGAAGTCGACCCAAAGCCTTCCAAGCAGATCCGTAGTCAAATCGGTTGGATTCGATGTTTTCTTCCCTTGAAGCTTGAAAAGTTCGAAGGTTGATTCTAAAAGTTTTGGCTTCTTCTTCATAAACTGGAGCTGGGATAATAGCAGGCCTTGAGCGAATTCAAAGTTTGCATCGCCCTTACCAATTTTAGCAAGAGCCCTCATCAGATCAAGATTCATCGTTCTGCCTTCCGATCCTTTAAGGAACTCGAAAGCCTCATACACCGAATTCTTTTCAGTGTTGAATGCAGCCCACATGCTGAATCCTGGAAGGTGGGGTATTTCTCCGAACTTGCTAAATTTGTTAAGTTCCAGATAATTGAATCGGTTTTCCGACGTGTATCCCTTTTCAACCCACTGCTTGATTCGATAGTTACAAATACTCTTAACCGTGTACCCGAATTTGGCTGAACTTTTTGTTTGAGCTAGGAATCTGTCCAGTTGACCTTCATCCCCCAATTTCTTAACCATAATATCGAACATCACTTTGGGCACATCTTCCTTGGGCGTGGTTTTCCCGACGATATATTTCCATACGGGAAAATTTGGGTTTTCAAATGGGTTTTTGAGTGACTTCCCTTCCTTGACGAGCTGCAACGACTCAAAGACCTCCTCGGGATTTCTTTGTTTGTTAACCCACAGCCACCATTGTGCTCGCATTCTTGTCATGATCTTGGAGTAGATCGTTAAAACACTTTGACGCAGTCTGGCAGGAAAACCTACCGCCTGTTTTCCAAAAGAGCTTCCGAGTTCCTTAAGTCCCGAGAGATCAGGAACTAGTCTTCTCAATTCACCAGTGCTGGTTGTCGTCACATCCGCGGTCGACCTCAAGTACCTCTTGTGTTTCAAGGGAGGAGGTATCAGATCCATATTCAATGTATCCGATGCCCAAAAGGTGCGTAGAGCATCCTCTGGTAACAGATCTGCCATCGCCATTCCAAAAGGCGAACACACAACGAGCATGATAACAAAGAGCGCCTTGGTAAGCGAGGTTTTCTTGGGCTTGACCGGCATCTTCGAAACTTAAAGTGACCTGGAGGTGTGGGAGCAACTTGAAGAGTGGGGGTGCTTGTAAGACCTCATCCGGGGACGGATCAGATGCCAATAATATGAGGTGGTTGATAGTGGCTGGAATATACTGCAATTTTCTATCACTGGCATCATCATTCTAAAGGTGTGCGGACAGTCACCGAAAGATCAGATGAATATCTGAATGGTACTAAAATTAAATACAAATCGTTAATCCACTATACAGTAGAATCTGTAAATTAATACTCGGAGGACGCCAATGTTCTTTAGGGTCTATCATTTAAAACAGGTATAAAATAACTGCTAGACATTGCTCACAATCATAACATCCAGTTCAATGATGGAGGTTATTGTTTTATGCAGACTTAGCTTAGACTGTACCATGTTCTGAAAAGATGCAGACAATCGCTTGGCATCAGATCAGATCTAGGTACTTTACAAGAAGATGGTCAGCGGCGATCAGTATTAGAATGTCAGTGACACATTACATCCCCAACCGCATTCATGGCTTTCAGCTGCAAGGCAACATCAAGCACTGGACTATCTCCGGCTAAATGATCTGTAGAAGGTCCAGGCCGAACAAAAAATTGCACCACAAGCTCCGGCGCTCGAGTAAAACCAACGGGCAGAAAGTTTTATGTTACAGTCTTGTATATGAAGAGAGCAGCGTCCAGCCATGGAGTACGCGGGGTATAGTAGTTAATGCCTCGTAAAATCGAGACACCTGAGCTTCATTTGACAACATCATGCAAGCGCGGCTAGGAAACTTCTGCTCGGGCTTCCACACAATATCCAGTTGCTGTTATTTCATAGCGTATTCGACATCTCCACCTTAATGGAGGACGAGTAGTGTGACATATCAGTGCACGTTGAATCTTCATACAGACGTTGTTAAAATGATGTAGACTAAAAAGTAGGGTGATAAGTGTGGTATTCCTTGAAGGAAGAACGCGTATTTACCATACGGTGACAATCATTGAAGATGTCATTGAGCCCTACGTGTTTGCTCTTTTTTTCGCAAGCAATACGCTGCAAGATGTTGCGGACCGCCAGTCGTGGAGAAAGTTGATGCTAGAAAGGAGATTTTGTCGGAGATTGATGAAGGTTCGTTACGAGAAACTAGACAACAAAAATGTCGTGACAGAAGTCGAGACTGACATCACTTTCTTTCGACAAACTGATGTCGTTGGGTGAGAAGACGAGACTGAGACTCCTGGGCACACAACACGCCATAATGGCGATACGCATGCAAGAAACGATATCACCAGGCTGTATGTCTATGCATTCTTTTGCTTGAGCTAGTACTGCCCCATCTCCTAAACTTGACAATCCGTCGAATGAAGTACTGCTTCAGCCTGGATGGTAACGAAAAAGTGCCCATTGAAGAAGCTTGACCTCGTTGTTCGGATTCACAGTCTCAAAGACATTATCACGGGACCGCTTAATTGCCGAGATGGGAGTGGCAACGACAGACGAGAAGATCGTAGGAAAGTGCATGAGCCGCAGCTTCTGGAAATGCGCTTCCCAATGTGCGCAAGAGGCCGATAAGCGTCAATACAGTGCTAAGGACTTAGGTCGACCCAAACTTGTCACTGGACTTCGAGCTTTCCTTCTCCTCATACTTACTCACCGTTAATTAAGTAAGATTGACTTCGGCTTGTCGTCACCCGAAGTGACCTTTCGCAAAGGTGTCTACTTAATTAAAGCAAATCGACCATAACGATAGTCGGAGCAGTCTCGATTGCAGCAACAGCAGCAACAGCAAAAGCTTCCTTAGCATTCGTTGACAACTGCTTGTCTTCTCAACCTTCAATCGCAAGCTTTTTCTCAACAGCATCGGTTTTAATGTAATAACTTTCCTTGACTTCACTTCATTCGTCTTGGCTACAAGTGCGAATTTAGTCACGGCCTCTCCACAGCAACTTAAGTAATGTATTAGTAGAAACCTCGATAACTTTCACAACAGCTACACGAGTTTCCACGAGAGATCCAGGAGTCTCAGTCTCGTCTTCTCACCCAACGACATCAGTTTGTCGAAAGAAAGTGATGTCAGTCTCGACTTCTGTCACGACATTTTTGTTGTCTAGTTTCTCGTAACGAACCTTCATCAATCTCCGACAAAATCTCCTTTCTAGCATCAACTTTCTCCACGACTGGCGGTCCGCAACATCTTGCAGCGTATTGCTTGCGAAAAAAAGAGCAAACACGTAGGGCTCAATGACATCTTCAATGATTGTCACCGTATGGTAAATACGCGTTCTTCCTTCAAGGAATACCACACTTATCACCCTACTTTTTAGTCTACATCATTTTAACAACGTCTGTATGAAGATTCAACGTGCACTGATATGTCACACTACTCGTCCTCCATTAAGGTGGAGATGTCGAATACGCTATGAAATAACAGCAACTGGATATTGTGTGGAAGCCCGAGCAGAAGTTTCCTAGCCGCGCTTGCATGATGTTGTCAAATGAAGCTCAGGTGTCTCGATTTTACGAGGCATTAACTACTATACCCCGCGTACTCCATGGCTGGACGCTGCTCTCTTCATATACAAGACTGTAACATAAAACTTTCTGCCCGTTGGTTTTACTCGAGCGCCGGAGCTTGTGGTGCAATTTTTTGTTCGGCCTGGACCTTCTACAGATCATTTAGCCGGAGATAGTCCAGTGCTTGATGTTGCCTTGCAGCTGAAAGCCATGAATGCGGTTGGGGATGTAATGTGTCACTGACATTCTAATACTGATCGCCGCTGACCATCTTCTTGTAAAGTACCTAGATCTGATCTGATGCCAAGCGATTGTCTGCATCTTTTCAGAACATGGTACAGTCTAAGCTAAGTCTGCATAAAACAATAACCTCCATCATTGAACTGGATGTTATGATTGTGAGCAATGTCTAGCAGTTATTTTATACCTGTTTTAAATGATAGACCCTAAAGAACATTGGCGTCCTCCGAGTATTAATTTACAGATTCTACTGTATAGTGGATTAACGATTTGTATTTAATTTTAGTACCATTCAGATATTCATCTGATCTTTCGGTGACTGTCCGCACACCTTTAGAATGATGATGCCAGTGATAGAAAATTGCAGTATATTCCAGCCACTATCAACCACCTCATATTATTGGCATCTGATCCGTCCCCGGATGAGGTCTTACAAGCACCCCCACTCTTCAAGTTGCTCCCACACCTCCAGGTCACTTTAAGTTTCGAAGATGCCGGTCAAGCCCAAGAAAACCTCGCTTACCAAGGCGCTCTTTGTTATCATGCTCGTTGTGTGTTCGCCTTTTGGAATGGCGATGGCAGATCTGTTACCAGAGGATGCTCTACGCACCTTTTGGGCATCGGATACATTGAATATGGATCTGATACCTCCTCCCTTGAAACACAAGAGGTACTTGAGGTCGACCGCGGATGTGACGACAACCAGCACTGGTGAATTGAGAAGACTAGTTCCTGATCTCTCGGGACTTAAGGAACTCGGAAGCTCTTTTGGAAAACAGGCGGTAGGTTTTCCTGCCAGACTGCGTCAAAGTGTTTTAACGATCTACTCCAAGATCATGACAAGAATGCGAGCACAATGGTGGCTGTGGGTTAACAAACAAAGAAATCCCGAGGAGGTCTTTGAGTCGTTGCAGCTCGTCAAGGAAGGGAAGTCACTCAAAAACCCATTTGAAAACCCAAATTTTCCCGTATGGAAATATATCGTCGGGAAAACCACGCCCAAGGAAGATGTGCCCAAAGTGATGTTCGATATTATGGTTAAGAAATTGGGGGATGAAGGTCAACTGGACAGATTCCTAGCTCAAACAAAAAGTTCAGCCAAATTCGGGTACACGGTTAAGAGTATTTGTAACTATCGAATCAAGCAGTGGGTTGAAAAGGGATACACGTCGGAAAACCGATTCAATTATCTGGAACTTAACAAATTTAGCAAGTTCGGAGAAATACCCCACCTTCCAGGATTCAGCATGTGGGCTGCATTCAACACTGAAAAGAATTCGGTGTATGAGGCTTTCGAGTTCCTTAAAGGATCGGAAGGCAGAACGATGAATCTTGATCTGATGAGGGCTCTTGCTAAAATTGGTAAGGGCGATGCAAACTTTGAATTCGCTCAAGGCCTGCTATTATCCCAGCTCCAGTTTATGAAGAAGAAGCCAAAACTTTTAGAATCAACCTTCGAACTTTTCAAGCTTCAAGGGAAGAAAACATCGAATCCAACCGATTTGACTACGGATCTGCTTGGAAGGCTTTGGGTCGACTTCGTGTACATGAGAACACAGGGCAAAACGAGCAGCATCAGATGCCGTGAAGTTTATAAGAAACTCTCTGATAAGGTCGGCCATGGCGCAGCCCTAAAAGTGATGAAACAGGTGCACAGGAACGGCTTTTTCTTGAAATCGCTGGAGAAGGAGAATCCTATTAAGGGAGACAAAGATTTTAGTTCGTTTATGAAGAAACTTCGAAAAAAGATGGAATAGAATCCCAAGTAAATATGTGTAAGACGGAGGAGAGCTGGTGGAGAATTAATGCTACACTCCATAGTTACTATCGGAGGTCCTGCTAGTACCTCTACTATGACGTAGGGACAGATAGTGGTGGTAGGTGCTTTATGCTGTTGGTAAAAAGCAATTACACTGTTTATATACTTTCCTTACTTGTTTTGTATGAAGTTGAAAGTCGTATCAACAACTAATCAGCAGTTTTAACATCAAGCTTACTTGCCTGTGAATAACTTTGGCTATGTTCAGGTACAAGATGTGCTGGATGCGCTTACCGTACAGACGTGTTTGGTGTCCATTATGCTTGCTAACAATGAAGTTGGATCGTTGCAGCCAGTTGCAGCAATTTCTCGAGCAGTGCGACGATTCGTCGAGGACGAGGAGAATCGGCTATGCATCCAGACGCCAGTCAAGCGATTGGTAAAGTGCGTGTGAATGTCGTGAGCTTGACGTGGATTTGGTGACAGTGGCGGGCCACAAATTCTATGCGCCAAAGGGTGTCGGCGCTCTCTACGTCTGTAAAAAAAGCATGGTTTGGACACGATGATTCACGGAGCGTCGCAGGAGAACGGACGTCGTGGTGGTACAGAGAATGTGGGACTAGTGGCGGCACTGGGCCAGGCTTGTGCGCTTGTAGAGAAGAACTTGCACGAGTACGCTGTCATCATGCAAGAGAGCAGGGCGTTCCTCCTCGAGCAGATCCAAAAGCACTGCAGTCTCACGAATGTTAGCTACCAGGTGAACGGCCACCCAGAACTTTCACTGCCTAACACGCTCAGCATCAGCTTTGAAAACATTGACGCATCGCGTCTCCTCGACTGTAAGTCTTGTATACTTGACTTTGTTGGTTATAGGATGCTGATCTTGGTGTTGCCTGTGTAATGGACAGTGATAGAGGCCGACGGTGTCTATGCAAGTGCAGGATCAGCGTGTCATAGCCACAAGCAAGACAGGGCTACCGAACAGGAAAAGAACCTAGACCGCGTCGAGAAACACATTACTACCATTTCACACGTGCTAGCTGCCATGCACGTGGCTCCTGAGTTTGCCAAAGGCACACTGCGCTTGTCTGTGGGTCGCTCTACCACGCAGGAAGAGGTACTACACGCTGCTAACGCAATCCACAAGCCATCCAGCAACTGCTGTAGCTTAGCCAAGGTGTCCACAGGCACAGAACTATAACGTCTTCTTATAACGTCCCATGTTTAGTACATCTTGGCTGTTGTCTCTTCGTTACTGACATGTGAAGAACTTACAAAAACCCAAGCAGAAGACGCAAAATACACACGTTATACTTGCTGGTCCGCTGTCATGGCGCTAGCAAATGTTGCCTGGCAGATATTCTGCCGACTTGCTCATTCTTTATTCATCCCTTCAATAGCGCTTCGAAATCCAAGCCAAGAGCCATTTAAGATGCGTGAGCATGTACTTGAGCGCTCGAGTCCACTGCTCATCGTTACCAAGCGAAATAGGCAGACCACCGATTTTGCCGCGCTCTACCTTGTACGGGAACTTGAGCAATAGCTCTTCTTTCATGGCACGACGACCTGCGTCATCTACGCACTCGAGAAATAGAATCATAGCTTGATTGAAGCCTCGACGGCGGAACATGCCACCGTCGCTGTACAGACTGTACTCTTTTCCGCACATATTGACTACACGGGAGAAGCTCCCCGAGACACGAGACGGTTACGTGAAAATTCAAAACCGGCACGGTCAGCGATAGTTGCCAGCAACAACACTGTCTGGCCCATTGCCGCGTTAATCTCGACCCACTCCACCGGTTTAGACGGTAACCTGCCAAGTCTCAGTCCATTAATGGTACCGAACAGACCGTCGTGCCAGATGTGGAAGACATCGTTGCACACGTTGTAGCACTGGAGACGGCGCAGCATATCTGATGCATGCACTGCAAAATACACCCACGAATTGGCGCTCGTCGCGACTCAGACCCAATAAATGCTGCAAGAACGCTCCTTCAGCAAACGTGCCATGAACCAAACGCTCGAGATCTATCCAGTTTACCAAAGCTCACGCCTCTTAGCTGTCACTTGTATAATTTCATCCTCGATGGCCTCTAACTCCGCCTTTAGTTGCCGCTCTTCCTCCTCCAAAGCGCAAAGCTCTGGGTCAATGTGCCACTCATCGGTATCGTAATCTCCATCATCGCACAATGTTCGTGCTGATGCCCGCCCTTTGTCTGCAGATTTGAGCCATAAAATCCTCGTATTGAGCTCGATCCTCCTCCAGTTCGTTCAATACTCTGTAGTAGTCATCAGAACAATGCATAATGATAAGCTCTTCTCAAAGGTGGCACAAAAAATCAGGTGCTCACTTACTGAGTAAATCGGGACAGCACCTTCCTTCACAGTCATGACAAGTAGGCAACCACTTTTTGTGTAGAACCGTGCTGTAGACAACAACTATACCACATTATGATGTATTCTTAGGGAGAAATATAATTTCATTCGCCGTACCTGCAGTCCAGTAGTTCCTGGAACCAGTTGAGATCACTCAGCACTTTCGTATCAGACACCTTCGACGAACAACACGCTCTTGCGACATTGCATCAGACCTTTCAGTCTTTTTGGCAGTTCTACTGAGCTCACCACCTTTCACTGCCTCCTCTCGATGCACATGAGGCTCCTCCAGCTTGCCAAAATCTACGTGCGAGGATGCATATACCCACCTTTCTTCATCGCAGTGCGGGAGGGAGTAATCCACCTCCCAGTCCGATATCCACAAGTGCGGCTTGTTCAGTAGTCGCGCCGGCACCACATCGGCAATATTTTGTCCAATATCTCCACAATTGCAGCTCGTGTAAGCTGCAATCCTATTTACGAGGTCGAATTCAGCAGGCACCCAAACACCAACATCACTGCTGTAGTCCAGACGTTGTCGTTCCCACACAATCTCGGGGACAATAGCCGGCGTCTTTTGCTGCTGTTGCTGTTGACTTAGTGAGGACCTAGCTGCCATATGTGCTGCTTCTTCCTCTTCATCTGCATCTGCGGTCTCTCCAGCGTCTGTTTTTCTGTAAGTCTTGGCATCTGGTCTTCCTCGTTTTCTCCCTTGCTGTCTCGTTGCTCGGACACCTCCGACGGGTGCTCGTAGGCTACCGGTCGAAGCTTCATGATCTTCTCCTCAATGGACACTGGACTATGTTGGAATTTGAGTAGTGCACCACATTGGTGGCACGTGAACAAGCTGCAGAAAGCTATAGTACCATTACTTGTTGAAGAGGACAAGAGGACTGGCAATGCAAGAGAAAGGACAAGTCGGTAACTCATGCGCTGTAATGTAATTTTGTCTTGTACTTCAATCAGATGGTGGACAAATTAAGTTGTCCACACCAGTGTCCAATACTATAATCAATTGATTTTACCCAATCAGAATCGCTCATAAGAATCACTCGATTACGGTGGCGTTACTCCATCTTCCTCTTCAGTGTCTACGTCGTCTAGCTCCATCTCTCTCTGTCTACGACGTGTACTACGTCACTATTATAATCTCTTGTTCATTTGGAAATTAATTGTCATCATTTTGACACTTGTGCCAGGCTCATCTGACGTCAACAGTCCAATAAATCAACATTCCAATGAGCAGCAATGGCTCGTTGCATCCGCCTAAGATTATTACAGCATTATCACGACCTCCAGCCACTATTGGAGCTCATGGTGGATCTACATTGACTGCTTTGTCTTCATCTCCAGCATCTTCATCTGTCGGTGCGTCCTTCTCGCCATACGCCAAGAGTCCTGCGCGTAACGCCAGACGCGTCGCTATGGAAGGGAAGAGCTTGAGTCTATCAGCTCGAATAGGAGTGCTCTTCTTCCCGGTTTTATCTCCACGTATCATCATCAGGCCACTTTGATAGAATAGTTTGAATCCCGAACGCCACTTTTGGCCACTATGAAGTTTTGCCAGGCGCCACTATTCAGATTGCGTAGAAAACTGCGTTTCGGACTCGTTGAGAGCATCATTCGCCCAAACTATGCCTCCGGCGCGTAAAACATTGTTATCGAGGCGCATATACTCGCATATGGTTGGAAGGTCTGCAAGCGCAATCCATCGACGATGGAAGTCGTGTCGGTATCATGCCGCTTCTGTGTACACTTCGGTCGAGAAGAGAAGGTTGACGCCAAACGCAAACCTACGAACAACATCCTGTGGAGAAGTGCCAGAGAAATGGGGTGCCCTTCGTAGTTATTATAATAACTGGCGTGAAAGACCTCGGTCACTCTCTTGAATGAGTGACAGGGAGTGACCAGGCCCCGAACTGGTCCAAGGTCCCGAGTTCGGAGAAGGTACTAGGATGTCCTACACTACAGATTAAAGGACCAGTGCTGCTAGGGCAGCTTAGGTTGACTCCAGGTGACAGGTGGACCCAAGGTGACCGGTTGACCCCAGGTGACCGGTGGACCCAGGTGACCGGAGGGCCCAGGTGACCGGTGAACCCAGGTGACTGGTGGACCCAGGTGACTGGTGGACCCAGGTGACCGGTGGACCCAAGTGACCGGTGGACCCAAGTGACCGGTGGACCCAGGTGACTGGTGGACCCAGGTGACTGGTGGACCCAGGTGACCGGTGGACCCAAGTGACCGATGGACCCAGGTGACCGGTGGACCCAGGTGACCGGTGGACCCAGGTGACCGGTGGACCCAGGTGGCCGGTGGACCCAGGTGACCGGAGGGCCCAGGTGACCGGTGAACCCAGGTGACTGGTGGACCCAGGTGACTGGTGGACCCAGGTGACCGGTGGACCCAAGTGACCGGTGGACCCAAGTGACCGGTGGACCCAGGTGACTGGTGGACCCAGGTGACTGGTGGACCCAGGTGACCGGTGGACCCAAGTGACCGATGGACCCAGGTGACCGGTGGACCCAGGTGACTGGTGGACCCAGGTGACCGGTGGACCCAAGTGACCGATGGACCCAGGTGACCGGTGGACCCAGGTGACCGGTGGACCCAGGTGACCGGTGGACCCAGGTGGCCGGTGGACCCCATGTGACAGGTGGACCCCAGGCGACAGGTGGAACCCATGTTACAGGTGGACGTGACCGGTGGACCCCAGGTGACATGTTGATCCAGGTGACCGGTGGACCTAGGTGACCAGTGAACCCCAAGAGACAGGTTGACCCCAAGTGGACCGGTTGACCCCAAGTAAACCAGGCAACCAAGTGGACCCAAGTGACCATGTGGACCAGGTGAACCAGGTGAACGAGTGAACCAGGTGACCAGGCGACAGGTGGACTCCAGGCGACAGGTGGACCCAGGTTATAGAAGGTACAAGGCTTCCTTAAAGTGCAGAGCCGGTACAAGTCCCATGTCCTAAAAGAGAAAGTTGTTCGTCCACAAGTTGACACGTGGTGTTATCTAGAGCGAAGGGTTAGGGTTAGGCAAGAAAAGCATACAGAGAATAAGATAAATAAACACACTCGAATTTGCATTACACGTGGCAGCTTTAAGCGCCCCTCCTAAGCTTCTTCGTCGCCTCACCTCTTCCGGGCGGGATACCCTTTGGCCCCCCGACGTCCAGCAGGTGTTAGAAGGCTCAAGCTACGCAAGTTGAACCTCGGGATAGTTGGCCTGATGTGTCAAGACTCTACGACCCGCTACAGGAAGCGGTTTTCCTACGGGGAAGAACACAAAGGGGTCCAAGGACCAAGAACAGTCAGCCACCAAAGGGGTACATAGTACCAGGTGCATCTCTCTCGACATAGTCGATTGAGCCCAAGAAACCCGGTCCCAAGTGAAGCATATCCACTCGGGGACCACCAAGTCCCTCTATACAAGACCAAGTCTTAAGTCTTCTGCGTCAACCGAGGAGCAAGACCAGCCAAGACGACGGGTACACAAGGTGAGACCCAAGGTTAACACGACACGGTATCAGGGTACCCCCTCCGCAAGTCGTCAGTCCGGTGCTGTGTGTGTTTGTGGATCTCCTACGCTGTTTGAGAATCCACTCCACCACAAATCAATACTTCAAACAATCTTTTCGCACTGATGTCTACGACAGGCACATAAAGGGACAGCATGGTAACTACTGGGAGAGGTATTGTAACCTAACGAATGCGCAGAAGGAGACATTATTAGACGAGAACGCTCCTCTGGTGCATCGAAACACCATACGGCCCCATTAAGGCCAAGCCCAAGCACATGTGCATTATCTTGTGAACAAGGACATCGTCGATATTATCGTGGGTGAAATGCTCTTCCATCCTGATGACAAGAAAGAGGAAAAAAACGAGGTAGCGAGCTCTAGCCATTTTCAAGGACGTTTTTAAACCCGATTAGAACGCGCATGACTCCAGGTCTTTAGACGAATCGCTATCGAATCGCCATCAAGACCCCCATACAGTTTCACATGATCGTCGGATTCGCGGGAGGAGGGGCTTCGTTTCTATGGCTTCTCGGTTTATGCATTTGACAAAAAAGCAAGCGGGTTTGGCGTCGCTTGGGGAGTAGCAAGTCACAAGTATATTTGACATATTCGCGTCTTGATACCCCGGAATGACTTGGGAATCCTGGCCTCATGCCGACATT